GAGAGAGAGAGAGAGAGAGAGAGAGAGAGAGAGAGAGAGAGAGGGCGTGCGTGCGTGTATGTGCATACATGCACATGACTATATATATATTTCCCCCTTTGTCCAGGAGTAAACTATGGCCTTGTATGAATTCAAGCTCCAGAGAGTACACTTGGTTAAAGATCTATTTGGAAAAAAAATGATCCAGATGATAAGATGCCCACAGTCTGAAAGGGCCATTCACAAAAAAGTCTGCCAAGCATTCTATAGCCTACAATTGTTTTTAACCGCTTCTTACACAGTTTACTTCTATGGGAACAAGAGTGTGACTTAGAAGAATAAAAATGAACTGCCCCAACAGAGATTATACTAACACCAAACATACATCTGCTGGATAATGATCAAATTGTGCTAGGGTAGAGCCAAAACTTCTGAAATCCCTGGAGGTAGAGGTGGGAATAAACTAGTTAAGTATTCATTACAACTGACCTTGAGTAATTTTATAGGAAAGATGACTTGAAGAATATAAAGCTTCATAAAAGTAAATACCCCTACTGCTTACAAATGCACTTCTTTGTTCCAATGTGCAGGATACACACCCTTGCAAGGAGAAATCAAGTCAATGCAAAGTACTTCAAGAGAATTAAACAAAAAGGGGTTAGCTGTATTAACATCATAGTCTGAAGAGCATAAAGGTTCTTTACCAAGTCCCCCATCTCCTGTTGCCTGCCATCCAGTCCCTATCTCCTTTGTGTACTGCTTGCCTCCATGTGTATCTCCCTTCACACACAGTGTGTGCACAAGGGCGTGTGCACACACGTCATAGATGACACTGCAGGACAAGCATTTGATTTGGTGTGGGAACAATTGAATTTATGACTACCCTATCCTCAAAAGCACCAAATGTCCCATATTAAGATTTTTAAATAGTAATCTTCCCTTTCACATTTAAAGAGCACTAATGTCCACAGTTTCACGTTTTAGACCAGCTAAAAGTGCATTACTCTTGTAACCCAGCCAATATGTAATTAATTCTACAAAGAAATAAAAAATCTTTCTAGGAAGGGACACAGGAAATGAAGTGTTTTCATTGTATGAAATGCATTGTGGACACACAAATCACCAGCACTATAAATAAATAAAAGTTGCATGCGTGCTTGCCTTACACCACATAGAAAACACTAGTACATTTGCACACCATGGCATTTTAGCCTGGGTTCCTGAAAAACACTGTGTAAATACAAGGGACTGTGAACGTGTGTGTGTGTGTGTGTGTGTGTGTGTGTGTGTGTATGTGTGTATCTGGTGTGTCAGGGAGAGGTTGGGAAGCACGAGGGACGGCACTTGCCTTTTGGCAGCTATTTAAGAAAATTCCTTTTCTCTCTCATTCATTCTTTCTAGCCTCAGTGTCTGGCAAGGTCCTTACAGTTACTCACTGGCTTTTCATTCTAAAGACAGCCGACATGCTCTTAGAGCTTCCTATGGTGTTATTTTTTTCCCACACACTTAAAAAAAATCAAACCATTCAATATATGTTTTGAAATTTTTTAAGAAAAGAAAATCATTGGCCTATTTCCTCACTTCAGAGACCCCTTACATATCTGGCTAAATGTGATCCTTTGTTATGCGTCCAAAAATATCTCCACCACATGATATTGGAAAATAATAAATTATTCGTATTCCAAGGATGTCACAGCTATTACCATTCATTTGCTTTACCTTAGTGAGTCGATGTCACACTCCTCTTACTGAGTCCTACACGCTTGCCTTTTTCTCTGCGAACACTCCATTAATAAATTTAAGGGCTGAAAAGAGGACACCAAGCGCCCTTCATGCACAATGGCACTCTCCAAGACTGAGACATCTCCAGCCACGGGAAAGTTAACCTTCCAGCAAGATGCCCACCCCAAATCGGCCAAGGAAGAAAGGTGACAGAGGGGCTGCGGAGCGCAACCTTTCATTTCTCCACCTCCAGAGAAAGGGAGGGCTTGGCAAGAGAGCGGAGTAGGAAGGTGGGCGAGTGGGAGACCGAAATGGGTGAGGAGGTGGGTGGGGGTGGGCGGGATGGGAAGATAGAGAGTTCGGGGAAGGTGGGGAGCTCAGCGCAGGGTTCGAGAGCAAGGCGGGGTTGGAGTG